CTCTTCCTTGCGGTGCGTGGGCTTCTCATTGCGGTGGCTTCTCTCGTTGAGGAGCACGGGCTCTAGGCGTACAGGCTTCAGTAGTTGTGGCTCGCGGGCTCTAGAGTGCAGGCCCAGCAGCTGTTGCTCACGGGCTTAGTTGCTCTGAGGCGTGTGGGATCATCCTGGACCAGAGCTTGAACCCGTGTCCCCTGCACTTGCAGGTGGATTCTTAACCACTGCGCCACCAGGGAAGTCCCCTTATTTGCGTTTTGACCTGTTCTTCTATCGTTTTAGCTTATCATCTGGACTTCAAGCTGCAGGCAGTTCTGTTTTTCCAGGCCTCTTGTCCCTCCCCGGTATCCCCGGGTTTTCCCAGAATCCTTCACAATCATCCTTGCAGGAATTACAGCATAATGCAGCCGCACAGTCAGCATTGTTACAGCAGGTAAGTAGGCAATGCCTGGTGGAAATAGAATGGTAACGTGTAACATAGCTTCTGTAGTGATAACCTTGCAATACAGATAAATAGTGATATTTCGGTACTGGCCAAAAAAATGGCTCTTAGCAGAACATCTGGAGATTTGGTGATTAATTCTCCCAGAATCTGCAGATTATTCTTGTTTTCCTTCAGAAGGGTAACAAAGGTGGTAGAATATCTTCATCTGTAAGAATTGTTTTTCCTGCTTACAGACTTTTAAATCTCAGTTTGGAGATCTTACAGATGGAATCTTTAGATGTGGCAGTGAAATTGTAGCTGGTCTTCTACAGTTTAAGCTAAAATAATGGACCATTGAGGCAGATTTTCTCTAGAAAACCTGCTGATTTTTTTTTTAAAGGATATTAAACATTTTAAAGACATTTCTTCGTGCCTCTACATCTGAAGAAGTTTGAACGTTTCTTACAAATTTCAGGAGGCTGAACAGACTTCCCTTGCCCCAACATTTTTTCTTTCTTTCCTGGTTTAAATATCTGTAGTGTGGGACAGGCCAAAGCAAGTACAGGCCTGGTTGAATTTGGAACTCTGCTAACCTGTGTGTTCATCTCTCCATCAGGTCCACTCAGCTTCAGCTCTGGAAAGCTACCCAGCTCAGCCGGATGGGTTTGCTAGTTATCCTTCAACACCAGGAACACCGTTTTCTTTGCAACCAGGCCTGTCCCAGACTGGGTGGCAGTGAATACATTTAAATGCATATTCTCCTCCAGGGCAACATCAGAATCGCCTGAGGACTGCAGTGAACAATTGGACAAATGTGCAGTTGGCCAAAAGTCAGGAAATGAGGATGAGGATAATCCTGGGGAAATTGGGATAAGAGCTTAAAAAACGTGGTTACATTTTTTAAAAATGGTTTTAAGTATGGACATTCCCCTATGTAAATATGCTGACAATAAATTGTATGGAGAATAGTATTTTTAAAAGTATTTGGGGGGCTTCCCTGGTGGCGCAGTGGTTGAGAGTCCGCCTGCCGATGCAGGGGACGCAGGTTCGTGCCTCGGTCCGGGAAGATCCCACATGCCGCGGAGTGGCTGGGCCCGTGAGCCATGGCCGCTGAGCCTGCGCGTCCGGAGCCTGTGCTCCGCAACGGGAGAGGCCACAACAGTTGAGAGGCCCGCGTACCGCAAAAACAAACAAACAAAAAAGTATTTGGGGACTTTTCACCTCCCACCCTATGAAATTTTGAATCATGTATATGATCTATGTAAGAAGAATACTAAAGAGGAGGTTGAACTCTTTATAGCCGAATACAGCCTTAAATCTGCTTGTACAGCATCCACTGACAGAAGTAATAGTCGTGCCTCAGACTTAACGGGTTGCATGTGGCCTTGGGGGAGTTACTACCCTTGGTATGCAAGAGTGCTTCCTATTAGCATCACTGGAACTCAGTATCTGTACTCCATGTGTATCCACAAAAGGGAACTTGAGACCCACCGTTATTTTTAACTTCTGACATTAATGATCATATGTGTACTGCTGAATTTAACTCAGTGTATTTCAGGTAAGTGAAAATGGTGCTTAATATAGTCTTTAGAATGACTTTCAGGTGTTTTCAGCTAAAAACATACATATCCAGAACTACTTTCTTACAGAAATACAAGTAAGGCTTGTGATAATTTGCCTTCAAAACTTATTTCTTAATCTCAGCAGTATCCAAATGAGTGAGGAACATTTGCCTGACCCTTGGGCCACCTCTGTTACTCATTGTACTCTGGAAGCTCTTGGTGAATGTTTACACCAAATAGAAATGTAGTATTTCTATTTGTACTTAGAATCACATGCTTACCTAGAATAATTATGTGACAACAGATAGAAAGACTTGCTCTGTTAGTAAATATGCAGTGTGTACTCTATTTAAGGTTCTGTGCTAGTATAACACGATTGAATGTCATTAAGTGTAATAACTGCCACATCTGGGGTACAGGGCAGTAGGGAGAATGATTTCCAATCCTGTGATTAAAAGTATAAACCATAGAATCTACTGTAGTACATTTCATCATCTAGAAGTTTTACTTTTATAAAGATGGTGTCTAGAAGATGTTGCTAATGTATTTTCCTTCAACCTGGGGAAAAAACTTTTAAAGTATATTAATATTCCTGTATGGTTAGTTTTTAACAATTTTTTAAAATAAACCTTATGGATACGACATACTTTATGTGTTTTATTCAGTGCTTGGATAAGTGTTTTAAGTTTTTGTGCTGGAGCTAATATATAGAACATTTTTGTCTGAATTTAGTTGAAAGTCAGTATCTACTACTGATTATATTGTATATTGTACATACATTGCTTATATATGTTGACCCTTCATTTAGAAAAAAGTTACTGAATGAGTAATCTTTCTATGGTGCTGCTACTACAAGGTTTATTTCTACTGTTCTATAAGCCCCTTCTCATCATAGCAAAGGAATGACATCCTGCTCGTCTTGTAGATGTATTCCTGGCATCTTCCACATATTCAGCACTGAAAAATGAAGAGAGCATTTTTGGAGCACTTGCAGTCATTACTGGGGCCTGGTTTTATGTGTCTCACACCCTATGAGATAAGGACCAGCAACCTAACCAACCAGATAAAGAAGCCAAGATGTAAGTCACAGTGAGTAAAGGGTAAATTTGAACCGAGCATTTACCACCAATATCAGGCCACTTGTACTACCAAGTGCTGTGAACATACATAGGAGGGAGATGACCTTACTGCCTGAGGGAATCTAGAAAGATTTCTCAGTAACATTCAAGTCTTAAAGGGTGAATAAGAATGAACATACTTTATAAAGGCACAAAGTGTGACAGACTATTGAAGTAAGATAATCATACAACTGGATGGAGTTGAATGAGGTTTGTAGTTTGAATGAATCTGAAAAGCAAGGGAGGGACCTCATGGTCAATGACCTTGAAAGCCATGCTGAGGGGCAGGGCGTTTGCTCTATGGTCAACAGTTTGGAAATTTATTAGAAAGCACTTTGCAAACCTCAGGCTGCAGCATGCAGGTTGGATTAGAGATAGTAAACTGTATTGTTACTGCAGAGATTCCAATATGCAGACAGTGAGGACTGCCGTTATGAAAAGGCAATAGAAATGGACCTCTCTGGCCTCTTTCCATAAAGGCCTGTAGTCTTCATAGAATTTGGAAACGCAGTCAATTCATATAATTGACTAACCTTAATTTTAAGCTTCACCACTTGATTTGCTAGATGGGTCTAGTCTGTGCATTTATAAAATATAGTTACTGTCACTGAATTTTAGAAAAGACTTTACGCCAAATCAGATTTAATGAGCCTTTGTTGTTTTTAAAGGTGACACAGTAGTAGTAAACAATGTCTAATTTGGTTCAGCTAAAAGGTGAAATATTGGCCAATATCAGCAGGTAAGTTGGGGAGAATGATGAAAATTACCATCTCCCCAAGGTCCTAGTACTCAGGAGGGGCGTTATGATAACGATAAGTTTTCCATCTCAATTTAAAATTTAATTTATGCCCAGTAAAGTTTATGGTAAGAGTTAAAAGTCATCAGTGTTGGGCTTCCCTGGTGGCGCAGTGGTTGAGAGTCCGCCTACTGACGCAGGGGATACGGCTTCGTGCCCCGGTCCAGGAGGATCCCACGTGCCGTGGAGCGACTGGGCCCGTGAGCTATGGCCGCTGAGCCTGCGCGTCCGGAGCCTGTGCTCCGCAACAGGAGAGGCCACAGCAGTGAGAGGCCCGCGTACCGCAAGGAAAAAAAAAAAAAAAAGAATTGGATGAATGAGAATGAATAAGACAGAATGGATGATGTATATTGATGAAAAGTTAATGAAATCAGAGAACTTCATCGTTTAAAGAGCAAGGAACATTGAGGCCCGCGTACCGCAAGGAAAAAAAAAAAAAAAAGAATTGGATGAATGAGAATGAATAAGACAGAATGGATGATGTATATTGATGAAAAGTTAATGAAATCAGAGAACTTCATCGTTTAAAGAGCAAGGAACATTTTCCTAAGGGACCATCAAAAGTCCTGGAACAGATGTGTGCATCTTAAGAGATGGTGGTGGATGCATCTGGCGGAAGAGTGTTCCTGAAACCAGAAGCTTCGGAAAGGAGAGAGGCCTGTGGCTAGAGTGGATGGTTGCAAGATCCCTTTGTGCTCGAAGATGAACGTTCAGGGAAAATAAAATGTACATCTTTGGGGATGGCATCCTGCCTGTCAAGAGTAGGAACAGAATTAAGGCTTTTAAAAACATAGCCGTCCTACTCTGGGAATATTGCCAATATTTTGAAATAACTGTAAATGGAAAGTAACCTTTAAAAATTAAAAAAATTTAAATGAAAAAAATAGCTGTTCTCATTTCAGGACTTTGCCTAGTTGAGGAACTGACAGAATGAAGGTTTAGAAACACACAGAAAAATCATCAGAAGTGCATTCCGGCAATTCTCAATCTGATTTATCCCTACCTCCCACTCCCCCTTGACAAAGGGGAGAAAATTCCATTAACTGGCCCATGTATGGTTTAATATCATTAGCAAAGGAAGAGGAAACATTGCAAATGGGTTTATGTTTCATTCGTTTCCTGAGGCTCCTGGCTAGAGACTCAGCTTGTCCTAGGTGTTCCTTAGTTGTTGAAATCATTCTTGCTTTCTAGGCTGAGATATTTGGAACATTTTGCAGGAAGAAGAAAAACAGTTGTTTAGTCATCTTCCAAGGGGATGTGTTTGTTGTAAGTGCTCTGGAGACTTTCCAGCCACCACCAGGGAACAATTATTGTTACTGTTGTTTTGAACCTTGCATCTCAGTGACTGGTGGTGCTGGCATAAGTGGTATCTAGCCAATATTAAGGGGAAATGGATTTAGAAATTAACTAAATGAGCACTTCCAAAACACGTTGTTTTTATGACTTTGGAGGGTCATCTGATTCAGAGGGAAAGCAGCTTCCTGTTCCAGGGAAAGACTCTATGATCTAGTCTCAAGAAATGATGGAAACATGAAGTTTTCATGTTGATCTTTCCATCAGAGGTTAGTCCCAAAGTGAAGGTGACATGGTGATCAAGCAGAGGCCAGGAGGAAACAATGGAATCTATGGGTTGACAGTACAGAACCAGGAACGGACCTCGAGTTTTCAAATTTGCAGCAAACTGGAGAAGCATTAGACAAGGGAGAGAAGGGACGTGATGAATGTTTGAACACATCCAATCACTAAGCAGTCTTCTACTCAGCTGAAACAAGGGGAAAAGACGATATTATGAAAATTAACCCAGCATTCCCATTTTTAGAAAGAAGACAGCTGAGTCCTGAGAAATACAGCTCAGCTCCCATTCATGGGAATAATAGTTATGATGTATTAATGCCAGTCGTTATTCTGAGTATTTTTTTTTTGGCGGTGCCGGGTGGCCTGTGGGATCTTAGCTCCCCAACCAGGGATTGAATCCGTGCCCCCTGCAGTAGAAGTGTGGAGTCTTAACCACTGGACTGCCAGGGAAGTCCCTACTCTGAGTAATTTACATGCACTGTTCCACATATTTGTCACACAGACAACTCTGGTAAAGACCCCCAGCATGCCCATTTTACAGATGAAAAGAAAAAAATGAAACATGAAAGGGTTAAGTTACCCAGTGTCACACAGCTAGTTCATGGTAGAGCCAGGATTTCTTTAAATCCAGGCAACGTGAGCCCAGAGTCTACTTCTTAACCACTATGCCTGTAGTATCATTTCCACATCAAGCCATAACCGAGGATGTATGAGGAGAAAGCAGAGGAAAGTATTCTAAAGCTGAAAGTCTCTGACTCTGTGCATGCATGTGTGTCTGTTTTGATCTGTTTCTGGTCCCCAGCCTCCTTTCCCCAAGTTCTAATATTCCATATTAATGCTTATAATTACCAACTGTGCGTGACAACCCTGCCTCGTTATTACCGTAATTTGAGTTTGTGGAGAAGGCAGTTATGAATCAA